TCCCTTGCTGGCCGCCATGGCGGCGGCGATCGCCGGGTTAGGGCGGCGGGGGGCCGGGGCGCAGTTTGGCGCCCCTGAGGGCCGGCGCCCCTAGGCGAGCACCTAGCTCGCCTAGCGGGCGAGCCGGCCATGGGCAGTGTTCTGATATTGTATTATTTGTGCTTTGATTCACAAGGCTAAGTTGCTCTCATAAGGCTAAGTTGTTCTCTGCAGGGAAAACACCTCCTTTTTCTCTGATATTTTTCTCATCACTCTCTCTCCTCTTTTCTGGCCTCAGAAATTTCTTTTTTCCTCCTCAGCAACTCCAACAACTCATGGGTAAAAAAACTTACCTTGCCTTGCAAAATTTAACCAAGGATCAGGCCTATAAGGTAACGCTTCATATAAGAGAAATGACATTAACAGAAGCTTCATCCTATCAACATTTAAAGAGAATGCTAAGAAGTTCTTGAGGTACAACCCGGTTCAGGAGACAGAAGTATAGGGTTGTCAGCCACTGGCAACCAGCAGGAGGACAGGCACCATCAATGTGATGGCATTACATTACTTCTGTGGAAAACCTGGAAATTACATTGCTCCTCTCTATGAATTGACAGGAACTGTATGGCAAAACCATAGAATTTCCAGCAATTCCTAGAGAGACATGACTTCACATTTTGCAGGTGACTATTTTTCACTTTAGTTTTCTCCTGCTGGCCACTGGAGGGGTAGGGTTGCCAGGCCCTTGCCAGGGGCAGGGGATCCCCTGCTATGGGGGCCCTCCCCTAGTGCTAATCAACTAGCTGTCAGGGATTTACCAATCGGAAAACTAGGATTTGGCCTTCATCATGCCCTCGTGTTGCCAGTGACACAGAGATGGTCCCACCCCCAGCATGCAAAGGCTATGGAAAGACCTTTTGGCACTTCTGGGGAGTTCTGCTGTAGCTTCATTTACAGTTTTTTTAAAAGACCTTTACCATGAACCAGTTGAAAGGAGAGAGGATGGATAACACCAGTCTGATGTGACATGGAAGATGAAGAGATCAGAAGAGATCTCTCAAATCAATGTGAAATAAAAGCATGACATTCTTCTAGAAATCAAATAGAAATCTCCTGTTGATTTGAATGAGGAAATAGTAATACAGAATTCCACGAAGATTGCGTAAAATATTGCGGAGGCCCTGCTAAATGTTTTCAAATGCAATTCATTTGTTATAGGGATATGCAGCTATCTTTCTTTGAGGCATTAGTTTTTGTCATATCAAGAATTCAAACTACCATGATCTTTAGAGAAAATTAGAACACCTACAGGCTGAATCTGCATGTTCATTTTTAAAGCAGTCTTGATGCCGTCTTTCTTTATACTGGCATGCTACTTGTTTCAAAGTTGTATAAAAAATCTGCTATTTTTTTCTGTTTGTTGGCCAGTAATTTTGTTGTTCTCCTCCCTCTTCTCTAGTGTTTGCCGGCACCCATTAGCTTTACACAAGGCAATAAATTACTTAAGGCAACAAGCCAACAAGCCATAAACTTCTCTTTACATTAAAAGAGAAGGATTTTCAGGCAGTATAAAAATCACAAAACAAGATAAAATCATTCACTCTTAGCTTGTCAAGCAAGGGGAAAGTTTCTTACATTCCTCTGTGTGCTGTCAGAAGGTAAACAGCAGATAAGCCTCCGATTAGTGCCTGGGGGGGTGGGCTTAGAGTGCTTTTAACCACATCAGGTTGCGTCGGCGAGAAGCTACAATTACAATGGAGCCGAAACCATAGGGCAATAAAATAGTGCAGACAGCAGAAATTATAACAGTGCAGTAGGAGACTGAAACCTAAAGAGATGTGGAAATCCTTTTTTGGAGACGGAGGGAGAGTGTAGCCGAAGCAGTGGAAAATACCAATGCAGATTCCACCACAGTCGAATACTATGCAGAGTTAACTCCAGTCTATGCTCAGCACAGAGTAAGGGCGAATCTGCATTTGCATTTTTAAATCATTTTCGTGCTGTAGTGACACCATCTTTCTCTATGCTTGTTTGAATGTTGTTTGGAGAAGATTCTTTTAAAGCAGTGTGGAGGTGCAATGACAGTGGAGCTGCCCCGAAAGGACGATAAACATATGTGGACGTGCAAAACTATGCTAGCACTCTTGAGGTGTGAAAACGGCACCAAATCTAGACAGCTTTTTTGAAGACGGAGTCAAAAGGTGGGGACACTGATGGGAAAGACAAATGCAGATTCCGCCTAACTCTGTGAACAGAACTGCACTGGTAGCCATCCATCTGGGGGATAGCGATGTATGTTGCTTGTGCTGTAAAATAAAAAGATAGCAGCCTCAAAATGGATGCTGACATAAGTGCAATGTGGCCTTTTGGGTGCCAGGAAAAGAATGTAAAAACTCTCTGCGAAACAGGAAACAGCTGCTGATCATGGAGAGTCTTATTCAACTATCTCACTGTTTCCAATAGGCATTGCTCATACCTTTTCAAAAATACCCTTACTGCCCTGATGTGGATAGGCCAGGCAAGCCAGATCTCAGAAGCTAAGCAGGGCCGGCAACCCTGGCAAGTATTTGGATGGGAGACCTCCTTGGAATACCAGAGCTGGGTGGCCAGAGGCAGGCTATCAAGCCACTTCTCTGAATGTCCTCCATGCCCCAGTAGGAGTTGCCAGAGGTCGCCATGCCTTCCAGGTGCGCGCGCACACACACACACACACACACACACATATTAAAAAATGCAACCCCCGCAAATAAATTCATATCAGGCGAACTTGTATGCAAAATATCAAATCTTTAATTTGCAGTATTGTTCCTTAAAATCAGGGCTATTTTGGGGC